TGCATGCTTATAGCGTGTTGAGGCGATGGTTCCAGACTGCCGACACCAGCGTCAAGAATCAATTCACTACCGCTCGGCGCACCGTTCATGACTCCGTAGTCTATATTAGGCACACCACCACCACCAATTGCGCTTGCAACCTGTGGACCCAGAGGTTCAGGGGTGGCTGGGTAGACCGCCCCTGGTGGCAGCTTCCCGATGTCCCCATTCATGTAAACGTATCCTGCAAAAGGAAAATTTGTAATTCACTTGTAATTTCCCTTTATCTTCTCTCATGTTCTTTCATACTTATGTATGATGTAATAATTCAAAATGTTGCTCTAATAACCTAGACAATAAAATCGGATATCTTGTAAAATGATAATTCAGATTAAATAAAATTTTTTTGCCACATATCTCTCTCTCTCTCTCTCTCTCTCTCTCTCTCTCTCTCTAAAAAAATTAGTATAATATATAAAATACTTGAAATCCCACAATTAAAGATCTGATATTTTCTAGATATACTACATATCTATAATTATAACCTAATCCGATATAAGTTACACGTTTCAGTTATTGCATTAAATATAGCTCTTTGCAGTAATAGGTCTAGTTATTACATCGCATATGACTTTCTTACATGCACATTTATACAATTTAAACAATTAGTTTGAGAGATACTCAATTCTAATTCTACTTCTATCAATATAGATCAGCTTTAATTTCCATTTAACTTATCTTTTTCTAATTCTAAGAAAAAGGTGAAGAGAGTAATTTAAACTGTGATTAAGTTATCTACAAATGTGTGAGATATATTAGATCTCTCTTTTATTCCAAAAATCGTATTTTAAACTAGGAGAAAATATTTATATATATATATATATATATATATAATTATCATGTAATTATTTGGTCAACGACCAAAGATGCTTTATGCAACACTGCCAGCCCTTATCCTTGTATACTATCATGACAACGACAACAGTAACGGAGCAACCATCAGGAGGATCATTCGACTCGAATGATGCCTCAATATGCAGCACTATACGATAGATTACCGCAACTGCAAGCTCACAAATACGGAGTACAAAACAGCTACGAACAATGTCGCGCGTGCAACTTTTCACCAAATACAATCTGAAAGCCGCCGGGAAAAACGAAAGACATAAGGAAGAATGTTGTTCACGCGCGCGCGCGACCAAAGTCAACGACGTGGTTGACACCAAGATGCGCTCTTCGGGCGGCAATACTCGCACGCGCCAGAGCGAGCCTCCGGCGTCGGACTACATGCCACGACGACGGCCGTCCGGAGGAACTCGCAGCGCGCCAGGCAAGGATCCCCGCGCGAAAGGACGCGCAATATGTTGCGGAGCGCACGGTGCGTTATCGGCCAAATATAGCGCGCGATCGTAGACACGATACGGTGGCGGTCACGATGGCGTCACGACGGCGACGATGATGACGAGCTGCTCTCTGGCCGACCGGACACGGACACGACCACGACCACGACCACGGTGACGACGATGACGACGACAATGACGACGACATTGACGACGTCGATAAGGATGAGCACAAGGACAACGTACACGGACACGATGATGAGGACGATGACGACGTCAACGTGGATGAGAAGATGAAAGATGAAGACAGCGGCGATAACGACGTGTCGACGTACGGAGCAAGTTTAGCAAGCAACATAAGGAGATGGTGACGGTGGCGAGGAGGTGGATGAAGCGGCACGATGACAAGACGGTACAACACTCTTCCTGAACTCAACGAACATGTGTTAACACTGACGATGACGATGACGATGACGATAATGATAATGATAATGACGGCGACGACGATGACGACGACAACGACATTGATAATAATGATGAAGATGATGAAGATGATGACGAAGATGATGAAGATGAAGATGATGATGACGATAATGATGATGATAATGATGATAATCGGATGGTGATTGAATGGTTTTCGTATGGTTTTTTTGACGAATGAAACGGATAGTCGTTACCGAAATCACCGTTCATCTCGAGATGGGCCTGGATGATCCCATGTGCCCTGAATCTAGCGCTACTAGGTGCCTTGCCCGTTCGCTCGCTCGCTCGCCCGTCCGCTCGCTCACTCGCGCTCTCTCGCTCTCTCTCTCTCTATCTCTCTCTCGAACGGCCTCGTGCAGATCGGTTTCTCGGCTATAGAGAGAGCACTCTCGAGGCACTTTGGATTTGGAGGATTCGTTGTGCGCGCGGAGTACCTCGTGTGCGCGTTTTCGCGAATTTCGCTCGCGCTGCCTTGATAATCGACGATGGGCTGACTAGAGCAGAGAGCTCGAACCGATCACTCGCCCGCTCGCTCGCTCGCACGCACGCACGCATGCATGCACGCACGCACGCACACGCTCGCGTGTGCGCGACGAAATACGCGACGCAGCAACACGACGACACGGCTGGCGAGACAGGCGGCGGCGAAATTCGACACGTTCCTCACGCGAATTCGCGACGGCGCGCGACGCGCGCGTGACGATCCGCCCTGTACGTATCACGGCCCACCGCACCGAGCGGATCAACGCGCGGCCGTTACGCACGACGATGTTTCCTTACCGAGGTGGAAGAATCGAACTCAACACAGTCTCTCGAGCAAACTACAAAATGGCGGAAAGGCACATGCCGTGGCGCGCGATGCATTCTGGGGCCCGGTGGACGGTGGTGCGCCGCGCGGCCCCACCGCCGCCGCCGCCGCCAACGTCACTTCTCGCGTCGACACCAGGGGGCGCCACTCCCGCAAAACTCCCAACCCCGCCATTTTCAAATCCTCGTGTTCTTCTTACTGTTTCTTATTTTCAACGTTGTTGAATCTACACATTGAAAAACACAGGGGATAACCTATCATCATTCAATCTATCAAAAACCGTGTCTACACTAGAATATATGGATTCTGATAGGTTGAAATCCGTTAGAGGCTATGTACAAAGGAATAGATAACAGGATACAAGAATTTGAACCTATCAGAAACACTATATTCCACGGTACATGGTTTCTGATAGGTTGAAATTCTTATTTTCTATTCCCTAGTCCTTTGTGCGTGCGCAGCTTTTTATTCTCTGTTTCTATTGTCTGTATTTTTCATTTTTCCAAACCTTTAGGGAAACAGAAAAAAGAATTCCCTGACTCTTTCCAATTTTTGGGAAAATTCCCTGATTCAAGCCAAAAGAAGCTTTAAATAGGAACAAAGATAAAATTATTAATTACAATAAAAAGTAAACAGAAAATAACATAAAATAAAATTTTTATATTTCTTAAAATAGTAATTGAAAAATTTCAATTTTATACTTTATTAGGAGAACATTCGCTTATAATTCATCTATTTATTTAATATTTTTAAGTCAATCAGATATAATTTTTTATTTCTTCAAGTAGTCTTTTTTTTCAAGTTTGTATTTTTTTTCCATATTTAATCTTTTCTGGAGATTAGCGATCTTGTAACTTTATCCTTAAGATAGAAACGTGAAAATTTTTTCGATATTGGATTTTAAGAAATAGAGTAACACTAAAGCTATTTACGTTTACTGTCATATTTTCTTCAAGATATCTAAAAAAAAAAAAGAGAGAAAATCGATCGAAACTGTAGCGCTTTACATAAATTTGATACTTAAATTTTTGAATAGGAAAAAAAAACAAAGAACTAAAAATGTTTATCTTATTATCATCTCTTCGAGAAGACTAAAAAAGAAAATCTATCAAGACGATGGTGCTTGATAAAAATTCGATATTTGAAATTTAAATAAAAAATATGTACTAAAGAGATCTGTGATCTGTTTTGTCATATTCTTCTCTTTTGAAGAATTTAAAAAAGAAAATCTATCAAAAATTCAATTGAATTTTTAAGTAAAAAAGAAAGGAAAACTTTGTCAAGATATTTATCTTATCATATTTTCTTCGAGAAATTTCAAAACAAATTAATTAATCGAGACGATAACACTTAATGAAAAAATGTTCGAATTTTCGAAACGAAAAAAAAACGAGCAACACTAAAAATATTTATCTCATCCTATCTTGTTCACTTCGTTTGTTCTCTCCTCTTGTTCGTTATTAATTATTTTTTTATTGATGATTACTCTGTAAATTTAGCACGAATGAAAATAGAAATGCTATTCTAATCTTTGAACCGAGGAAAAATGAGTGTAGGAAAAAGTATGTTATCTCGAAAAGAAATCCCATCTAGAGTTCCTAAAATAAGAGAAAAAAATTTCAATTTTTCTATAACCTTTCTCATCAATCTTTCTCCACGTTCTTTTTTTTTTAATTTAAAATAAAATTTCTTTTAATTCAATCTATTCTCACTAAATGCGCAAGTAGGCTTTTTTTTATTTTTTTAACAGACACATACTAAACTTGGTTTTTCTAATAATTTCAACCATCTTAACTCTTCGCTATCATTTCTGGCATTTTGCGTAGATCGCGAAACTTGTAATGTATGTATTCCTTGAATGGCAAAATACTTGGACAGATATAAGAAACACTTTTTGTATGTAATCTCTCTCACTAGCACTTTATATATTTATCGTGTCTATCCTGTTAATACCAAGAAAAACAGATTCTACGAAATAGCGATTGTAACGAGCATAAACGTAATCGATAAACGATAGCTTATCTAATAATTTTTTTATAAACCACACCGTGTTTTTAATTCGTACACTCGCTATCACATGGCGATAGATATCAATTTCTATATATATATATATATATGAATTCCACCACTTTTATCTCTTTTTATTTTCTTTTTACTGTTTTCCTCACATGATACACGAACATTATAAAAGTGTTATATAAATTAATAAAGTAGAAACACATCCATATAACTTCTGTTACATTAAATAAGCAAAAAATTAATATATTCCTAAAATATCTAATTTTTTCATATAGTTGAATTTAATAGCAATATCGATTTTTATAGAGCTGGAACAGTGAAAAGGAAAAGGGACAAGATGGTCATGTTATATTTCATTCATGTACGCATTATTTATTTATCTAGAACAGCCACATTTTATTAACTCTCATTATTATTATTATTTCAAAACAATTCGTCATTTAATTACTGCCTTAAAAGGGGATGGAAAGCAAGAGCGAAGATATGATACGGGGCGAAGGAGGGGTGTCCTTTACGCGAAAGGAAGAATCAAAATCGGCCCTACAAATATTCAACAAATCATCACAAAAGGACACAAGAGTGGAAATCACTCTCTCTCTTCTCTCTCTCTCTCTCTCTCTCTCTCTCTCTCTCTCTCTCTCTCTCTCTCTCTCTCTCTCTCAATTTTCAATTACAAACGTTAAAAAAAAATAAAAATAGAAGAAAAAAATCTTATATCGTTCCTACGAAGGATCGCAGAGAAGAATGTGATGGACGCGAGGAGAGGGAGAGCCCGAGTCAATCAACCTACAGTTTTACTGCCTTCTCGAAACACGTCTATCGCGCCCAGATACATACTACCTAATGCAAGAACGAACATCCATCCGGCGCTGCTAATTACCGCTCGTTCATCTATGCTTCTCCTCCTCCCGCTTCTCTTCCACGATGTTTATCAAAATCAGATGTGTACTATCCACTGCTGCAAGACAGGGGAATCCCTACCTCAACAGCTGCTATCACCTAACATAAGGCTTACAGTGTGACGTATTGCTTTTTATCTCAAGAAAAGATTCTGATTAGAATAGATATATTGCCTATAGGTATACGCTGGTTATATGCCTATATATCTTCCCTTTCTTTCGCTATATCTCTTCCTCCTTTCTTTTATTCGCCTTTTATTCCTCTATTGTTTATTTCCTTCTCTATTTCGTTTTCTTACTTCCTCTTTTTATTATTGAAATATATATGCGCGCGTGTTTGTGTATATATATACATATATGCATGTATATACATATATATATATATATATATGTATTTATAATGTTGACGTGATAGTATAATCGGGATATCCCACGAGAAGTTTAGTGAATGATATACAGATTCAATTTGAGATGATCATGTAGAGCTGACGAGGGATGGAGCTGTCTGCTGTTGTTGTGGGTTGTGGCATGGATGGTAATTGTTGCTGTTGTTAATGGATTAAAAACCATGGACTTTGAGCTGGTCAGGTTTTGCCAGACCCGACTTTGTCAGCCACTGGCATATATTCTCTCGTTGGTCCCCCTGCAGCTGCAGCACCTCCCCGTACTCCGGGTGCTCTATTACTGTCCCATTGCAGGCAAACTCCTGTGAAAATAGAAATGCACCGATAAAGCAGGCATTCTTCGGAGGGACTTTTATCTAGACGATTCACTTCCACAGAATGTTGGATTCTTTTATCTCTCTCTCCCAAAGGAATGTATTTCAAAACTTTGCAGATACCGTTATCAAAATGAGATTAGTCACAGCTTTTCCATTATAGAGAGAGAGTTCTAATGACTTACAAGAAATAGCAATATTGTAAATATTAAAATGTAACATAGCAAATTTTTTAAATAATTATATTAAAAAATCAACATTAATAAGTTGACATGACAAAGAGTGCATTCATGCTTTAGTGCTCATAACACTTGTAAGCATCATATGTTCTTGTTTAATATTTGATAGACAACAAGAACGAAATAATGCTTACAGAATATAAAGTAAATGCATCCAAAATATTATTGTAAATGCACATGACCATTTCTAATAAAAAAGATACACAAATTTTATTTTAAAAAAAACCACATCTCTTCCGATTGACTAATTTTGCTACAATTTATCAAAATTCGATTTCTGCTGGCACAATGATGAGATAAAGCAATTATATTCTGGAATTATCTGTTGTGTAAAAATATAATGTTTAATGTACAAAAGATGTTTTTTCTTATTATTTTACTCAACAACAAATAGCGTTGAATTAAGAACAATACTAGATATTTTGAATATAAAATATCAATGATTAATTTAACAGTGAATACACAAAATGATTAGAAAAAAAAGCCAAGTCATTGATGATGATCAATGTTCTCAAATTGAAACAAAGACCATCCCCTCTATATGTCAAACCACTTGTAGATGCACTCGCATGCCACACATTCCTAGAACTTGCAAAACTACATCTGTCCAGCCTGTATCACCGTGATTGTTTGCATCAGACCTATTTTTAGAGTTCTGCCTAATCGGCCGATGGTGGGGGAACAGCGACAGAAGAGGGACAGAGGGAAGTAGAAATGACGGCGACGAAGGCAGGAGAAAGGATCGAGGAAGGGGATCCTCCCCTCAATATTAGGAGGGGGAAGCGTGGCATACTGAACACTCACCTTTTTACATGCTCTCACGATTTTCTTCAAGTCATATTCCGAGGAAAGTCCTTGCACCGTTGTTAAGGTTTTGCGACCATTCCGCTGCTGGATCCTTATATGAACGAGGCCGTCCTGGACGTCATCGTCTGAACCCTTGATTGCATCTGCAAAGGGGTCTGCGAACACAGAGACAGAAGGGGGACATAGATGAGAGAGAGAGATCGGATCGCGCGACGTGTGGGACGCTCCCAGCGCGGGATCGGCGAGATTGCGCAGGATGATGCTAGATGATGCAAAGCAAAGAGGATCGAGAGCGCGCGCGAGCAGCGAGGCTGGAAAGCAACCCCGTCGCCATTTTGCTCGGCTCGAGGGGGGGGATCCAAAAGCGAGTGTCCGGGTGTCCGCGTTTTATCGCCCTCGTTCGCAAAGGACAACGTACACGAGGCGACCTGGCGACCTGTCGACGGCGAAGGAAGAAAGAACAGGAAGATACAGACAAGAGACAGAGAGGGGAGGGGGGCAAGAGGGTGCGACAATGCGCGTTCTATCGTTTCACTCACCGAATGTGTTGAGATTCTGGATGGACATACGACAAACAAAAGAGATCCCTCGGATGATATAGAACTGCGGAGCGCAGATGACAGTCGTAGGAGCAGGAACGTGGAGAGATGTTGCTAAGATTAGCACTTGAACGTCGCGTGAACACCACCGTAGCACAAACGGACTCGATGAAAGCCAAGCGCGATGGCCGTGTACGCAGCCGGAAGTAAAAGTTGCATTTGTCACGGCGCGATGGGTGGGGTTGCGCGTGGTCAGTGCGTTCCTAAAACGCGAGCCGTGAGATTGGCCGCAAAAGCGAGCGATTCGCCGGCGTGTGGTGACCCTGGTGACGTCATAGCCAGCGGGAGAGAGTGATTGGCGCGCTGGCGCTGTGTCGACAAATGTGATTGGCGAGCGAATAACGACCTACTTTACAACGTGCAGTCGGGCGCGTTCAAGCCGGACAAACCTGCTGCTAACCTGCTCACCAAGCGATTGATTTAGGGATGGGCGATGTACAAGGAAAGCATCGATTCTATAATAATCGATTATGATCCAATTCGATTTTTGATTAACCGATTCATCGTAGAAGAAAATATCGATGTTGGTAAAATCGATCATTTGGAGAAAAAAACTGATTGCTAAATTTTATTTTTTTTTATTATTAATTTTTAGAAATATATTGAATTATAATTTTTAAAATTATTTTTATCACAAAATAAAAAAAGAAATAGAGTACAATTCTATGTACCTCCACAGAGAAAAAATTTACTTGTTTCAAGTAAATATATTTTCTTGAACTGTAATTTATTGATTGAAAGAATTAATTACTTGCCACAATAAATTTGTTTTTTGTTCCAATAAATTATCCTGAAGCAAATAGTTTAGCAATGAAGAAAATATTTTATTCTAATAAAAATACAATTACTTGTCAGTAGAAAATTGTTTTATTAAATCTAGTAAATGTTATTACTTGAATCTAATTGTTGTTAATAAGAGAACATTTTTCTTAAATTTATGACATGAGTATTAGAAATCGTACATTGATTACTTTTTATAAAATATAATTTTTATTTCAGAAAGCAATTTCTTGGTTACCAAAAATATTTACTAGTAATGAGAAAATTGTTTCATAAATAAATTAAATGCCTGCTAGGGATTGCCTCTCTAGTCTCTAATAAATCTAGAACTCTTGGATAGTTATATCTTTGGGTAGATTAATGAGAGCCAACCATAATCGATATCATTAAAAAAAGATCGATGTACCGATTAATCGAATTCTGAAACATCGAATCGAGCATCGATTATTGAGCGGAAAAAACTTCGGTTTTTGTATAATTGATGAAACATCGCCCATCCCTAGATTGATTGTCATTGGTTGGATCTATAAGTTGGCCGTATCGACCTCCTACTATTTTCGAAGACGAGAGCCAATAATCTAAGAAGAAAGATCTATAAGTAACAATCAATCATATTTATTTGCTCGGCCAGCAGGCTAGCCGTTTTTTAATTAATCACTTTAATTAATCGCTTTTTTTAATTAATCACTTTGATGCATATTGTACCAATTTAGTACATTAGTCTTTAGGCCGTAATTACAATACAGGTTGTCGGTTAAAGCGGGGAGCACAGACTCTTGCATAACGCATAACACATGAGGCATAAGAAATTGAACCAACCAGAGTTCTCTATTACATGGAAGGGAAAGAAACGGAGAACTTCGATTGGTACATATTCTTATGCATTACGTGTTATGCGTTATGCAAGAGTCTGTGCTCCCCGCTTAAGCCCGCAGCACACACGCTTGCACAACGCATAACGCATAGTGCATAAAGGAATCAACCAATCAAAATTCTTCTTTTCCATGGAATGGGAGGGAAGGAAAGATTCTGATTAGTTGATTCGCTTATGCACAATGCGTTATGCAAGAGTGAGTGCTGCGGCCATTAAAGCGGGGAGCACAGACTCTTGCATAACGCATAACACATGAGGCATAAGAAATTGAACCAACCATAGTTCTCTATTACATGGAAGGGAAAGAAACGGAGAACTTCGATTGGTACATATTCTTATGCATTACGTGTTATGCGTTATGCAAGAGTCTGTGCTCCCCGCTTAAAGCTCACTTTTGTAATTTTCACCTTGTTTGAAGATACAGAATCGACCCCCAGGGGCTCTATTCTTGAAAAGAAACGTATACGAAAGTCTAGGGAAATACTATAGTATACGTGACGTATACTGTAGCATTTCCCTAGATTTTTGTATAATTTCTTTTCAAGAATAGAGCCCCAGGAGCCAATAATCATGCAGTGAGGGCGCCACTAACGGCGGTATTGAAAACTGAATGTTATGTAGTATTAAAAAATTTGTGGACGTGACTGAAGTCTGGCTCAAATGTGATTACTCTCCGAGAATCCACAAGAATCTCTTGTGTCGAATTGTCATAGCAAGTAGTAACGCCAGTGTAGTTGTCTCCATTTTCGCCCCTTCTTCGTAGTATTCGGTTCACATTCTGGCGTCACGAACGATAAGAACATTTATTTTGTTGTGTTCTTTCAAAACCAAAAAAAACAAGCAAATTCGTAAAAGTAAAGATAGAGGAAGAAGCGTTGCTTATGCGATACGAAACGACGAGCGTGGATTTCCATCGATTCCCACCTTGCGGTAGTAAAACGTGTATGTAAGCAAGCACTGACGAATACATAAGAATGGATGTGGCGGAAGAGGGGGAGGCGAAAATGTGCAGGCTTTGCGGCCAGTACGAGAAAATCTATATCGATGTTTTCGGCGAGGAAGGTATCAAACGTTATCTTGGTCTCAAGATTCACAGGAAAATTAATATCCTGGTGAGTTATATACTTTTCAATCCTGATAAGTATTCTCTTTTCTAACCTGAGTATGGTGTTAGAAAAAAATAGTACCAAAAAGTTTTTTCTTTTCTACTATAATTTTTTTTCAAATTAGTGTGTATATTTATATGCAACATATTTTATTTCTTTGTATAATTTACATATTGCTTTAATGCTTTATATTTATCAATGCAAGGAACATTTTTCTCAAAATCAGGATATCGAAACTTTTGAGTTTGAAATACAAATCTTATTTCCTAACTATAATTAGTTGCTATTTGTAATGCTTATTAGTTTCAATGTTTCTCAAAATACTTGAAGATTATTACAATTTTTTAAAATAATTGATTTAATTGAATACACAACAGGTTTTTGACATTTAGTATAATTAAAAAATAAAGCACTGAGATTTGTATAACTGATGTTGAAATGTTAATCTTGTCTCTTTTATTTATTCATCTTCATCACTTCTTTTTTTATTAAGAAATTAAACAATTTTAATCAATAATATATTGCAATAATCTGTAACTATTTAATGACAATCTTAAAGCCTAATCTACATTGTGGTTCTTTGCTTCCTTTTTCTTATTCATTACTTCATGCCTTTTTCCTCCTTTTTCACTGTTTTATTTATAATTGTATTTCTTTTCACATGTTTCTTGTCTCTTCTGAAGTTCGTCAATTTTTATCTCAGGCGACAGAAAAAACAAAAAAAACTGGGTAACAAGAAAACAAGAAACATCGAGTTAAATACAACGCTGATAATTTAGGTTAGATTAGGTTGAAGAGGTTAGTTTATTTTACAGTAAACCTCTATTTTGCAGTAAATATGATGCAAAAACAATAATCGCTTAATCTTTACAATAATAACAAAAAGAATGCTGTATTAGTATGAGAACAAATCTTGATTATCGGTCTGTATTTTAATATTTTTATGTGAAATAATGTTTTTCTTTGGTAATCAGAAGAGACAAATTGTAACATGATGACGTTTGTCGGCTCCGGGTGATAAATATATAAAAAGCAAGAAAACAAAGGCAGGAAACAATGTACATTGTAGATTAGACTTAAAACATCTAAATTTTAAGAAAAAGTACAAAGATATTTGTCTAAATATTGGTAGTTAATAATATTTTTTTTTAGCACGTCATAATCTCATTCAGGATACCAAAAGATTTTTTTATACTTATTCTAATATCATAACTAATAATAGATATTTTACATAAATTACTTTATGAACAAGATTCTTGCAGAATTTTTTATGAAATTGTTGCTGTTTGAAAAATAATAAGTATACAAGAAATACTTGTATTAATTTTCAAATATACAAGTGTATATAATTACATTACAAGATTATTGTACAAATTATGTTTATGCTTGTGTAAATAATTTTTTTGTGAAAAGGAAAATAGTAAACTTTTTTTAAAAATTATGAATAGTAAATGTAACTGTATGAAAATTATCAATTTAACTTTGTTAACAATTTCAAGCTTATTGTTGTCATCAGGTATCATTAAGTTTAGTGAGGACCAGAATTTAATGATATGTCATAAATTGTTACATCTATAGAGCAGAGTAGTCATATTTATGATTAATATTTTATATAGAAAGAAAAAGTAAAAGCGACAACAACTAGTATAAAAATTATATGTGGCTTAAGATATTTTTTTTTTCCCCAAGTATGTATATCACGAGTATAATTTTTGGAGAAATTATATCTTAAATATTACTTTTTAAAATTTGATTATTAATTTGTTATGTTACTTCCATTTGTGAATCATAGATAGATGAGAAGGATCCTCTTCCCAAAGCGATTTGTGTTCAGTGTCTGGGTAAACTTGAATTTGTTTGTGATTTTCAAGAGGAATGTCTGCGCACCCAACAGGTGTTACGTGATCAGTACAATCTTCCACCATTAACGGAATCTGTAAGTCTCTATATTTTATTTATATTTTATCTACTGCTCTATCGCTCTTTTATCATAATTAATCTATGTTGTATCAATTTCATAATATTAGTATAAATTCAAGTTCTATGAAATAATAAAATACATATAAATAACTAAATAAAATATAATTAAACAATTTATGAGCGATGTTTCACGAAATATTTTTTTTTTTTTACTTGTTAATAAAATGTATAATTTTAATGCAGTACTATCAAACATTTTTTTACGTTAAAATTATTATGTATTTTTTATTCATTTTATTGAAAAATTATTCTAAATAAATAATAAGTCAATGTAAAATATTTGTGTGAATCATATTATGAAAATTTGAAAAAATAGCTCAATTTCTGAAATGATTTTAAATTTATGCATGTATCAAAATAGAGACATGTTCTGCTACTTACTCCTACATTTCTAATTCGATTTCTCTCCAGACAGAGGTAAAAAATGAAGAATCAGCAGTGCTGGTGGGTACGTCATCGTCAGATAATAACAACAGTATTGAAAAAGATCTTAATTCTACTAGAAACAATCAAATCGAAGACGTAGCCAAGGATCCAGTGGAACAACAGAAAAAAAGAAATACCACCTCGAAGATTTTAAGGAGCCTTCGTAGTCAGCAACAGCAGCAACAAGTTTCCAAGTGCAACGATGAAAATGCAGGAAAAAATGTACAGACTCAAAGTACAGAATCATCACCGACTCGTTGGCTTAGAAGCAGGCAAAGCACAGATTCATCTGTGGTGGACAACGAAAAGATTCCGATTGCAAACAGATTAAGGAGTCACAACAATGTGGAAACTAACACCAATAATCGTTCTGTG